GTCCAGCCGAATTGTGTCGGCTTCTTTTCGTATATGCTTTATTAGCACTGGTTTAACCTCTGAGTATGATAAGTCTTCGTTAACTACGGAAAATTGATTAACTTTAAAGATACTCGGCTGTGTCGTTCTTGATTACTTGATTTAGTTTAATTTACCTTTGATTTTTGTCTTCAATTGTTATATTAACTAATATCAGACAGCAGCTACTACTGCTGAAGAAAAGGCAAAGCTACGGGAAGAGAGAGATCTCATTAGAGCTGAGATTGAGCAACAACATCAGGTCTTGCAGGCCAGAGAACAGGAAAAACGACGGATGGAGGATGATTTGGCTGAGCTGAGAAGCGCCGTCGAAGAACGCAAACTTGTGGGTCGTGTCAACGGCTACAGTGATGGGGATACGAGTGGGCGAGCTAGCTTCAGGTCTACAGCTGTTGGAGAAGAAGAACAAGAAGGTAAGTGGTATTTAAAAGACGTGGTTACTTATAATTAACCGATAAGTGAGTAAGGATTCTATCATATTTTGACTGTAATTGCTAAGCTACGACACTTATTCAAATCACTACCTAATCTAAATTTATGCTTTGACAATACCTTATTCTAATATATGAATCATCAACGTCTTGTTTCTATGAATGAATGGTATAGGCCATTAAAAAAATCCCATTTAAATCGCTTAATAAATCTTATTTACTTAAAGTGAACTTTTATCTACTCATTTTCACTTACATGTATAAATATTGATTTAATCTTGACACATTAATTAGCATTTAGGTTCATTTATTTTCATTAGGTGAGAATAAATATCTGTACATCATAGAAATAATTTCTCATCTGTTGTTAAAAGGTACATTCATTTGATATCTAAATCCCTCGTTCTCTATTTCTACTTATATTATCCATTTAAGATTTTTCAACTTTTAGTTGCCTATTTCCTATGATTTGGCTTGATCAAAGCCAAACGTTCATTAGTATTGTGGATTAAAATATTCTAGCTTACTCCACGGATGAAATATTGTATGGAGCAGCTACTAATGTACCTGAGTGTTAATCTACTTATAAGTGAATCACATATTTTATCAATTTAAACTTTTACTCAACGAATTCGATATACGAAATCACGAGGATTGTTAGTTTAACTCGCACTTTTTTAATGCACATATTCTCTTGCCATTATGTAGGTAATTCTCGATACACATACAGACATAAACACAAAAGGCCACGTGGCGACCAACTAAATAATACAATACAAGTTACTCCGTTTTTTATTGCTTAGCAGACACTGATAGCTAAGATAATCACTTTGAAAGCAAGAGTTGATTGCAGTTTCGACCTGTCCTAGATCTCACAATCAGATGCATAAATATTACACGCTTGACTACATGACCCAAGCAACTCTCGTCAAGGCATCTATTGGAATTGATTTTGTATCGAAAAGATTTTTTTACTTATAGGTGCTAATACTTGATAGTTGAGAACAAAATTATTAGTAGCATCACCAATGAAATATCGAAACTAGTGACCAACATTCTCTGTATGTACTTCCCTTACATTTTCATCGGAAGAGATCTGTCTTGCAATCCGAAACCGCCTGTTGCATCTACTTTAGGCATTCTCATGTCCATATTTTGATGTATTAAAGTAATGTAGATAGATCATTTTACGCCGTTAATCGCGACTAGAAATTTGAACGTTTATTTAATTAATCTACTTATCTGAACAAAAAATGAGTAACAGTTATGCTTTATCACATATATGAACACCAATATGGTGTGGCCCTCGGCATCGTAACGGCCTCCTTTCGATGTATATAATGGGTCGACCTCGATTTCGCAACTTGGTCTTATTATCAGGACGACTTAGTTGGACAAACCTCATCCGAAGTCCGTTTTGGCTGAAAGTTTGATCAAGGGGTTGACCTTGTCTCGACATTTTTTTGCCTAATGCTGGGAATGGCAAGTCTCACTAATACTACTGACTACGGTGTCGGCGAAACGTCTGAGAATGTATCACGTCTATGGTCTGACGCTGGGACTTATGATAATTACTTTAGCTGTGGACTTCGGACAAGGTGCGTCTGAGTTGCCTTGACAACAAGACCAAGTTATGAAAACGAGGTCAACCCACTTCCAGAATTATGTTTAGTCAGA